AATTAAAACTAACCCGTGAAGAATTCTACCTTATTGCTACTTATGTAATTATTTATTTTTTAATATTTTTTCTGTACTAATTTTTTAACTATAATTTTCAACAATTATTGATCTCCTAATTTTCATCAATATATCTTAAATCTTAAGAAATAAAGCTAGAAATTCAATATGAATAATACTACATTATTAAATTTTATTATATTAGTGTACTATATTTTCTTATTATGTATTAAATTGATTATTTTTTTCACTATTTAAATAATATCCCGTGCATCGCATTGGGGAAAATGCTAGTAAATATTAAAGAGATGGACTTATTTTTTTCACTAGGGACGTATGCTTGGTTAGGGGCTTATTTGACTTATTCTTTTTCTTTTTTTCCTTTTTCTTTTGTCTCTTTTCATTTTTGGTATCTTCCAATCAAATATTCGAATTAATAATCCCTGCTAATTGCAATTTTCTTTTTTGAGATAGAAAAAGTAAAATAAATGTAAGAGTGAATTATATATATATATATATATATATATATATATATATATATATATATATATATATATATATATATATATATATTATATCCTTGAAACTTAGCCTAATTAGTAATTACAAAAAGAATCAACCATTACTAAAAAAAATTAAATATCGCTAAAGGAATTACAAATACCGGTTAAGAATTTATATTATATTTTAAATTAAAACAATATTTTTGTGATTTTAAAAGTTGGAGCCATGTATTTATGTTATAAATCAATTCAAATTACATTTAAAAAAATATATATATGCAGTGGTTACAAATTATTTATAAGAAGACAAGAAATTTAATTTGATTTGATTTGCTTTCAACTTGAGTAAAAGGAGAAAGTGATTCAAATAATTCGAAAGGGTTACACATAATTTGATTTCATATGCAACACGACTTGCGCTAATACGAACCACGACTTGCGCTATGCTTGATGTATGAGGCAACCTAGAAGGATGAAACGAAAGCGCAAATATTGCGAATAAACCTAATATTTAAATCAAAATAATATATATATATATATATATATATATATATATATATATTAATCAGATACGAGGTTTTTCGAATTAATGTTGCAATGTTGCTGCTGAAATAAAATTAATGGTTTTGTTTCCATCACCATTGCTTTCCACTGCAGCACCACCGATGTCTAAGTGAATGCTGTTTCTTTCGACATTAAATTTCCAGGAAAGCGGGGCCCGGGCGAACATTTTGAGGTCTTCCGGCAAAGGGTTAAGGTATAGTGGAGGAAATATTGCCCGTAAATCATACCCGCAAAGCTACTCATGCAGTTCCCGTGCAGATTATCGACTTTATAATATCTTCATTTGACACATGCCGCCACCCGGTTTTCCATCTCTAGCGCATTAATTGCCTCAATGGCAATTAGTGATTCATACCTGCACTTTTGACAATTTTCTCTCGGATTCGATTTTATGTGTCTCGAAAGCAATGAATGGGAAATTAAAACCACCTCATTCCTTTTTTGAATTAGTAATAAGTCAAAAGCCAATAAATTACTTGCGTAATTGGAATACATAAATTCACGGCGGATTAGAGATTCAAAGTCTTAGTCTCGTGTTATCAACAAAATTTGAACAACAATTGTTGGAAGTTCAATCAATTCCTAAAATTGCATGCGATGTGTAAAACGACACCATCATTTGATGATGCCCCAACTACAACCAATCCAAAAGATATTGAACCTTGTACGTAAATTGTAGGTTTGCAACATTCAACTTAATTACTTAATAATCTTTTTTTTAGGGTAAATTACAAACACCCCCTGAGGTATGGTCAAATTACAAAACCCCCCCTCTTGTTTGGATAATTACATCTATCCCCCTCAACTATGATTTTTTCTTTTTTGAGATAGAAAAAATAAAATAAATTTAAGAGTGAATTATATATATATATATATATATATATATATATATATATATATAGTAATTACAAAAAGAATCAACCATTACTAAAAAAAATTAAATATCGCTAAAGGAATTACAAATACCGGTTAAGAATTTATATTACAAATACCGGTTAAGAATTTATATTATATTTTAAATTAAAACAATATTTTTGTAATTTTAAAAGTTGGAGCCATGTATTTATGTTATAAATCAATTCAAATTACACTACCAAAAAACATGCCTTTTGTGACGGAAAGCTTGTGACGGAAAGCTTGTGACGGGCCTAATCGGTCACTAATTGTGACAGACTAAGTGATGGATATGTGACTGATGCCAACAAAAAATATCATCATTACATTGTGACGAGGTTGTGACGAACTTTGCGACGAATTTTGTCCCAGACAAATGTCGGTCACATTTATGTCACTTATATTTCAACGGAAATTAGTTTTGTCACATATCAGTCACTAATATTATGACAGAAATTTGTTTGGTCACATATATGTCATTATTTTTTCACAGAAATAACGTCTTGACTAATATTGGTCACATATTCGTCACAACTCAATTCCATCACAAATCGGTCACAAACAAATTACGAAATTATTGACAAATTTGTGATGGAATTTAACAAAACATATCCATCTTTTATTGTGACATCTATGTGAGTGAGTGCGTGACAGACATTGTGACACACACAAATCCGTAACCGTTTTTTCACTAAAGTTTTCACGGAAATTGATTTTGTCACCAAATCTGTCATAATATTATAATTGATGTAAATAATTTATTAATGTCCTTTATTAATCTATTACAATATCTTTGTCGTCACAAATCCGTCATGCATAATACGGTCACAAAGTCGTCACATGTATGTTCTGTCATTGAGTTGTCACTATCTTTATTTGGTAACAAAGTCGTCACATTCTAGTTTTGGTCATGGTGCGGATCATCTAGCAAATTGGGCTTATAATCATAAATCTTATAAAGAGTATTTTGATGTAAAAGACTTACATTAGTGATAAGTTGGTGATTTTTAGCTTCCGTCCATGATGCAGACGTTCAGGGATGAAGATGGTGAAGATGGGCTGATTTTTGGATATTTGCATTTCTGCCCTCAGTTTTTTGTTTTTTGCACTTCCACCCCTGGATGGGGTCTTTATTGCAATTTCAAAAGTTTCTGAGGGAATCCTGCCGGCTTGCCCTGCTATTCCTGCATAATTACTACAATGGAGGAGCATAGTTTCAATACTTAAAAGTCTTGTACAACAATGGAGGGCCCATGGGAGTTTATGTGGGCAAATTAAACATATTAATTAATCTATGGCAGTAATTTTCAAACCATAAGACCTCCAAAAACTAAGAAGTTGATGGACAATTGAATTATAATTAGGAATGACAATATTATGACTAAAGGAGTATATTGGAATTCCGGTTTCCACCGATTTCGATTTAAAAATTTCGGATTTCGTAATAATATTTGAAATTCCAAAATTCTGAAACTTCTAATTTTTTTTATTTTTCTGACTTGTTTTTATTATTTTTTTATAATTGAAAGTTGTTTTCAACTTTCGAAAAGCATTAATTTTTTTCTAAAGTACGAAGTATGATCCGATCCGTCCGATCTACACCCCTGTAAACGAAGTAATACTATTTAGGAGTGTAAATGAGCTCGAGCCTATTGTTTTAGGACTCCAACTCACCATAAAGGCTCGTGAGCCAGCTAATGAGTTGAAATTATAGATGACCAAATATTTGGATTTTTCCGAATTCCGTCAACTCCAATCCCAAAATTTCTAATTTTAAAATTAGGGTTTTTTTTTTCGTTTTAGTTTCCAAAACTACGAAGTTCTGATTTCCAGATTATTTGGAACGAAATTGATATAATTTTTTCACTTCTGAAAAAATATGAGAATTTTTTGAAAGTTCTAATTCTGATTCGTTCGATTCCACCCTAATTATGTAGTAATACTATTTGGAAGTGTAAATTTGTCGAGCTAGCTCGAGCCTAAAATTTTGAAACTCAAACTCACCAACAAGGCTCGTGAGTCGGCTCCCCGGTTGAACACCTAGAAGTTTGATTTTGAATTTTAATTATTGTTATTAATATTTTTATATATTTATATTAAAAAATATCAAGTACTACTATAATAATAATAATAATTATTATTATTATTATTATTATTATTATTATTATTATTATTATTATTATTATTATTATTATTATTATTATTATTATTATTATTATTATTATTATTATTATTATTATTATTATTATTATTATTATTATTATTATTATTATTATTATTGAATGCATTGAATTGGGCTTTTTAGTTGGTTGCTTTTGCACGTAGCTGTGACTTCATAATTATGTTTATATTTATGGATTACATGATGAATTGCAAAACTGATCTAAATAAGTATCTCTTTCTGAAATTATTTGCAGCTTGGTTCATAATGAATTATGCTCTTTTTTTTTTTTTCCTTTTTTTAGGCGAAGAATTGTCAGCTATTTAACTAGTTTTTTATGCTATGTCTTTGTATCCAATACACATTGTATATATGTGGTGAGGGGAATTTCTTATTTAAAATAAAAAAAAACTGATATATTGTCGTTTGATATATCGTAGTGTCATTTTTTTTTCATTGGTTATGTATGTTTTTTTTCATATAATTATTGGCAGTTGGATATTTATGTGTATTTTTTTATAGATTATTTTCATGATTATCGGCAGGATGGATAAAGGAAATGTAAGCTACCAAAAGTCTAGAAGAAGGGGACATGTACAGAGTCCAAATACTTAGTGAATGAAACATTTAGACTATGATACGATCATTTTGGCTTGTTAAGATTCTTTTTACATTATTTTGTTAAGATTATATGTTTTGGAATTTATGTTCATGTTGAAACTATTGAGAAATCATACCCGTGTGATGATCTATTTAGATTTACATTCTTATTGGGATTTTCTTAGTTCTTTTAATGTTGTTATTTTGTGGATGATTAAATTTGAATATTAATCAAATATGGAACATATTATACTGAATGTAATAAATAAATTTCATAGTTATTATTTTAATGATTTGTGACGGAAATGTGACTGTTAGATGACGCAATACAATTTATTTAGTAAAAAGATTGTGAGGGATTTGTGACAGGATGTTGTGTGACAAGTATGTTGTGACGGCGTTTGTGTGACCGATATGCGTGACGGACATTGGTGACCGATATTGTGTGACATTTGTGATCGATATTAGGTGACGGACATTGGTGACGGACATTTGTGATCGATATTATGTAACGGACATTGGTGACGGATATGTGTCACGCCATGTGTGACAGATTGTGTGACGGGAATTGGTGACGGTATTGGGTGACGGACACTGATAACTGGTATTGGTGACAGACACTTGTAACATGTAGTTTGCGACGGAACATTGGTGACGGTTTTATGACAGTAGGTGTGACGGATAAATAATAATGTGGCCTCTTAATATGCGACAGATTACTAACAACTAAAAAACATTTGTGACACATTCTGTCACAAATTTTATAGACCCTGGACATGGTAATTGTGACGGAAATGTATTTTGTCGTGACAAACGGTTCCGTGACAAAATATGTGACAGACGATTATATCTGTCACAGTTTTAAGTAGTGACGAGGGGTTTTCCCACGGACGTTTTCCATCACACATGCGTCACAAAAAGGTATTCATGACGGAATTTCTTCAATTTAGTGACGCAATCGTCCGTCACAAATAAATCTTTTTTTATTTATCTTTAAATAAATCTAACGCATTAGCTCTTTATGTAGGGGTCAGATCTCGATTTGGTACGATAAAGACGAAACTGTGTATGAGTTTGTTGAGATGGCTGACATAATCACATTGTTGAAGGAGGGATCAACCAGTACACAAGTGAGCACCCACTTACAAAAAAACAAAAATACTGTCAAACACAGACACTTTACCTAAAGAACTGCCAAAACTAGTAAATTACACAAATGATTGTCTAGACTAACTCTATTTTTCTTGTTGCATATAGGCACTTGATTCATACTCGTCCATTCTGCAAATGCGACAAGAGGAAGGATATTTTAATGATAATATCAATCATGGTTTGGATGGGGACAGTTATGTCTTTTCAAGTTCGCTTATGGTATGTGAACGATGTCAGCAAATATTAAAATTTATATATTATTCTATTTATATATATATATATATATATATATATATATATATATATATATATATATATATATATATATATATAATGGTGTGTTAACATACATGCCGTTCTTCAGCAACCAAATGGTGAAGAATCTTTCAATAAAATTCTGAGATACATGTTCAGCAGTATCGATTCCTCTTGTTTCCACTTCATTCCAAAGGCAACACACGCAAGGATAATGATCATTTGACTTTGGTTGTCGTGGATATAAAGCTCAAAACGTGGAAACATTACAACTCCTACAAGCCAAGGGCAGTGGAAAACCAGAAACGCACAGATCCATATCTGTATATCGCGGAAACAATGGTAAGTAACACTGAATAAACAAAATAAATGAAACTCCATATTGTTAAACTGAATAAACAAAATTGCAAAATTGCAGGTAAAAGCTGTTGAAGCAGTCACCAGAGAATGTAAAATCAAGAAAATCCCGCTAGATGCAACACTTGAAGAAGTTGAGGATTCACCTCAGCAAGAGTACGACATTGAGGATTGCGGGATTTTTGTACTATATATCATCAGACAGTATTTCCGTCAACAGCCAGTGGACAAGTTGGATGCAGAAAAAAAATGTTAAGAATTTCATAAATGAACTAGTTCACTTATTCCTGAACCACAAAAACACTATTAATCACAGAGTTAGGCGGTCAAAACCAGTGTGATAGGCTTAATGTAATGCAAGTTTAAATGAACTTTTAAGTATTTTTAGTATAAAACTCTATGGTTGTAGGTTTAAATGTACTGTTAAGTATTTGTAGTATGATACTCTATGGTCGTGGTCTTAATGTACTGTTGATTATTTGTAGTATGTTACACTATGTACTTTATGTTCAAGAGTGCAACAAATATACTACTGCCATATAGTATTATTCTGAATTTGAAAATGTTGTACTTACTTACAATTTATACATAATGTACCTGTTGTAGACAGTTATACAGAACCATTCAAAAGAAAATTACATGAGTTACACAAAAGTAACTGTCACTTACAGTAACATAGAACTACTGAAGAAAATTACTGAAACAAATATAACTGTCACTTGCAGTAACATAGACCTATTGAAGCAAAATTACTGAAACAGTATAACTGTCAGTCACAGTAACATATAAGTACTGAAGAAAATTACTGAAACAATATAGTTGTCACTGAAAGTAACATAGAATTACTGAAGAAAATTAATGAAACAATATAAATGTCGGTGATAGTAACATATAATTACTGAACAAAAAAACTGTAAGCATTCAAATAATAGTAGATCTTCAAATAGCTTTGTTGCAAGTCTTCTTGTTGTGATGACCAATCTCATTACATCTTCCACACTTGATCTTCTTCTTGATATTCTCACCACGAGATGGGATCCTCTTCTTTTTTGGTCTTCCACGTCTTGTCTGGCAAACTGGAGGTCCAATAGCTGGCTGCTCAACTTTTGTAAAGTCCACCATAAATGGGTAAATAGAAAAAGAATACGTAGATCGGAAATCCAGTCCAATAGCTGGCTGCTCAACTTTTGTAAAGTCCACCATAAATGGGTAAATAGAAAAAGAATACGTAGATCGGAAATTGCTGGCATAAAACAAGGGGTCAATGTACCCATATCTTTCACCGACGGGGATATTCTTGAGAACCACAACCACATGACAACAAGGGAATCCTTTAAGCTGCCAATCCCGACATGTGCACATTCTAGCAAAAAAATCCACAATCTCATGAGAGTCTGAATGCACTTCAAAGACAAATTGATTTGATTTTCTAATAGTCCATGTCCTCCCGTCTTCGACAAAAGTTCTTAAAATCTTTTCCATCTTTGGACAAAGCATCGTAGTCCAACCCCTCGCTTTTGCAGACCTCTTGCAAATTTTATCCATCATATAACCCCTAATGCTGTCAACCAGATGGGTAATCGGCAAATGTCGGAATTTTTTTATCGTACCATTCCATGATTCCACAGCATTTGAATACAGCTCACCATACCTATGCCCCTCAAAATACGCATTTGCCCAATTTTTAAAAGGCAAATCTGACAAAAAATCAACAACTTTCCATGAACCATCAATTTTAAATTTCTGAAGTTTCTCATGAAAGATTTCCTTAGTGGGAGCATACGCGCATGCTATCAACTGATTAACTAAAACATCTCTATAACTAGAGCTTATTCCACTCAACTTATACCTCAAATTATTCTCTAAATGCAACAAGCAGAATGCATTGTAACAATTAGGGAAAATATTTCTAACAGCTTCCAAGATACCGTGCTGCCGATCGGATACGAATGTCAAAACACGATCTGAGCTAATGCAACATTTTAAATGTTCCATGAAATAATTCCAGTTTGAATCATTTTCCTCATGCACAACGGCGAATGCCACTGGATAAAGACCTGAAACACCGTAAAATCAATGTAAAAAAAAAACTTGTCATTTCATGAACTCATGGTCTATAATAGTCATATAAACCTTATTTTACTGCCACATATAATAAAAACTTATTTTACTGTCTGTGACAGTAATATAACCTTAATACACTACCTATGACATTAACAGATAAATGCGGACTGAAATAAAGAATGTAATACAACAAAATTACCATTTCTTGCATCTTTCGCCATGGCGCTCAAAAGAATACCTTTGTATCTACCCTTCAGAAATGTTCCATCCAAAAAAAGAATCGGACGGCAAAACTTAAATCCGGACAGACAAGCACCAAAACTGAAGAAACAACGATTGAACGAGTTATGCTTCCCATCAACTTCAAGGTGAAACACACTGTCTGGATTGCAACGCCCAGCTTCTTCAAAATACGCTTTGAGGTACGAATAAGATATTCCATCGTCTCCGAACACAAAACTCCGACTAGATTCCATAGCTCTCCATGCTGTATTGTAGCTAATATCAATCCCATAATTCTTTTTTGCGTCATGAATAACGTCGTTAGCACACATCAACGGCTTATTCCGAATGTCCTCCACGATTAAATCAGCTACGAGCTTAACGCCCATTTTTTACCTTCTTGACAGCACTAAATGCCGACTCACACGTGTGATGTTTCTCATACGTGCGAATAATACAATATTCGGTTGAAGGTTGAATTGTAGCATGAATTCTCCACAAACAATTTTTCTCCTGTCTAAGCTTACAAACTGCAGTCACTCTCTTCGTATCGTTTTTGATAAAATCGAATCCAAATCCAAGCTCATACGCAAACTTAGCCAAACATATTCTAAATTCTGAACGTCCCCCACGGAAAACTTGTCCAACATCGGTTATCAGATTTATCCAATGTGAGCTAAGCAAAGTCTTTCTGGGGGCAATGGCACGTAATGTGTTGCATGGGGGATTAACTGCTGCTTCAATTGCAGCGACAGGTAACACACTCGATGAACCTACCATAGAGTTGTAACTAGTATCAGACGTACTGAGATATGCATGAACTTGCTTCACAACAATTTCAATCCTTTGAATCGACCATTGTTCCACAATAATAAATAACCCTTTTACATCTTCATCATCATCATCGTTGATTGAAAAAACACCAATCTCAGGGACAGAGTACGATAATGACATGTTATCAACACTTAAAGAATTCCATCTTGAACAAACAAAATGCACAAGATTGGAAAAACTCATCCCTCTTGTAAAATCTGTGATCGAACAAAATGCACCATATCTCAACAACAACACAATAGAACTAGTCATCCTGCAATTTCATATAAAACATATTTATACTGTTAATAACAGTCACATTACTAATACATCAAGTAAATCTGTGTGTGCATTCAATTATACTGCCAATGGCAGTACCATTATATAAACACTTGCAAACAAACATAAGAAAACATAATTACACTGCTAATAACAGTCACATTACTAATACATCAAGTAAATCAGCATATACATTCAATTATACTGCCAATGGCATCAACATTATATAAACGCTTTCAAAAAGAAAAACATAACAAAACATAATTATACTGCTAAATGAAAGTCAAAATACATTAACAACCAGCGAAATAAACATACGCATGCAATTATACTGCCAATCGCAACAACATTGTATAAAAACTTCAAAAAACAAAAAATAGAGTGAAAACAAAAATACACAACAAACAAAAAAACACATTTCTGTAAACAGTAATTGAACGCCCATACATCATGGTGTTGAATTTACTACAATTCAAACTATACATATAGCGATGTTGACATTTGTAACTTAAAACAACATTCGCATGGAGATAAAAAAAATTGACACACCTTCCTTGTAAATAATAATTCAGCAGATATAATCGGCGGTAAAAGCTGGACACGACGGCCGGCGAGATTCGACGCGAAACAGCTAGATGCTGTTGGTTAAAATACCTACACGCAAGTGCACGTATCGTACAAGTAATATAGTGGACTAAAAGTCCGGATATCGAACCCACAGGGAATATTTAATTATCTAATCCTAGACGCTAAATTCTACCAATTGCTGTCCAGCCCACCCTACACAGTCGACTTTGGAGAGAATTAACTAAATTAAAAATAAATTAAAAAGCAAATTAAACAGACAATAGCACGAAATCAATTAAAAACGAAGGTTAAATCAGAGTAAACAAGCTTAGGATTTTATTCTTCCCCCTATGTGATTATTATTCCCCCAATTCCTTCAAGCATGCAAATAATTAACCCGGATTATTAACCTGAGATGCTAAAATAATCATAACCCGCTTCCGCGTGTATTACGATTCTAATACTCTAGATTCAATTACTATATTCCTATGCAATTAATTCTAGAACACAGCATTAAACACAAATCTCAATAATGGCTACCTAAGAGATTAACTATATTCCTATGTTAATACCGCAAATGCTCTTCTACCACAGTTCTAATTATTAACCCGATCTTCCGATTCATGCGATTAACAATAACATAAAAGCACAAAAGGTGATCAAATTCATGCACTTCATAAAACAAATAGAAGAAATAATCCCGAATTAAAACTTGCATAAAATCATAGAAAAGGGTTCATAAATCCCACATAGGGTTCCAAATAAAATCCTAGAAATAAGAAAATTAGCTACTCATGATGAAAGGAAAAACGCAAATAAAATAAGTCATAAACGATAAATCTATGCTTAGAGTCTTCGAATTCTTCGATTTCGTTATTGCTTTGTTGCTCTTGAAATTGCGTAAAAAAAAAAATCCCCAATTGTGTGCTTGGCTTGGTCTTATATAGGGTGAAGAACTTGGGAAAGAACGCAGTTTCCTTGTGCAATTAAAATCCCTTTACTGCGATGCGTCGGGGTCTCGGACGGCCGTCCCACAATTTGAACTACGAAAAAAAAAATAAAGAAAACTATGAAAACAATAAAGCTCGGGTTGCCTCCCGAGAAGCGCTAAGTTTAAAGTCTTCAGCCGGACGTTGCTTCTTGCTCTTCAAGCAAAGGTGATCAAGGCCACTTGGCGTTCGCCACCATCTCCCCAATAATGTTTGAGTCGATTCCCATTTACTTTGAATACTCGTTCCGATTCACGGTCCTTGATTTCTATAGCTCCATGTGGAAAGACTTGTTGGACTATAAACGGCCCCGACCATCTTGATTTAAGCTTTCCCGGAAATAACCGAAGCCGTGAATTGAAAAAGAGGACTTCTTGCCCTTTTTGAAATTGACGGTGCAAGATGTTGTTGTCGTGCCACCTTTTGACCTTGTCTTTGTATAACCAATTACTCTCGTACGCTTGCTCTCGTAACTCGTCCAACTCGTTGAGTTGCAATAACCTTCTTTCCTTGCATTCTTTGTAATCGAAATTCATCTTTTTTAGCGCCCAATAAGAACAATGCTCCAATTCCAACGGTAAGTGGCATGCTTTACCGAACACCGCACGGTAAGGGGTCATTCCCAATGGCGTTTTAAAAGCTGTGCGATATGCTCATAGTGCATCGTCGAGTTTTTTCGACCAATCCTTTCTTGTTGGGCCGACCACTTTTTCCAAGATATTCTTGATTTCGCGGTTCGTAACTTCGGCTTGCCCATTCGTTTGTGGATGATACGCGAGTGCAACCTTGTGCTTTACGCCATACATGCCCATCAAGTTGTCAATTTGCTTATTGACGAAATGCGATGCACTATCACTAATAATTGCCCGTGGTGCTCCAAACCTAGTGAAAATCTATTTCTTCAAGAAAGCACACACTACAGATGCATCATTAGTAGGGGTGGCTATTGCCTCTACCCACTTAGTAACGTAATCGACGGCCACTAAAATGTATTGGTTATTGAATGAAGGGACAAAAGGTCCCATAAAGTCAATACCCCAAACATCAAAAGGCTCGACTTCGATCATCGTGTTCAATGGGAGTTCGTGGCGAGCCGAAATATTGCCCGTGCGTTGGCACCGATCACAAGTAATAGCGAATTTATACGAATCTTTAAAAAGAGTGGGCAAAAAAAAACCTGATTGAAGAACCTTACGTGCTGTTCTTTCGCCCCCATAATGTCCTCCATAATCCGAACCATGGCAATGAAAGAGTATGTCTTGCTGCTCATGTTCCGGGACACATCTTCGCACCAACTAATCACTGCATTGTCTAAAAAGAAAAGGCTTTTCCCAAAAATAAAATTTAACATCATGGAAAAATTTCCTCTTTTGATGATAATTAAGATTCGGTGGAAGCACTTGACTAACCAAATAATTCACATAATCGGCAAACCAAGGTACCTTATTATCAAAAGCAAGCAACTGTTCATCAGGAAAATTTTCGTTAATGCAAATTCTATCGCTTTCGTCTATATCTTTCTCAAGTCGAGATAGATGATCGGCTATTTGATTTTCACTACCCTTTCGATCACGAATTTCCATGTCAACTTCTTGCAACATTAAAATCCACCTAATGAGTCTAGGTTTTGCATCCCTTTTAGTAAACAAGTATTTGAGGGCAGCGTGATCAGTAAAAACAACAACTTTGGTTCCTAACAAGTAAGAGCGAATTTTTTCAAAAGCAAAAACAACAACCAATAACTCTTTTTCCGTAGTGGTGTAGTTAAATTGTGCATCATTAAGAGTTTTACTAGCATAATAAATTGATCGAAAAATTTTCTCTTTCCGTTGACCTAAAACGGCGCCAACCGCAAAATCACTAGCATCGCACATAAGCTCAAACAGTTCGTCCCAATTCGGTACGCAAATAATATGAGCGGATACTAACCTTTGTTTAAGCTCGTTGAAAGCTTGAAGACACTCACCATCAAAATTGAATTTTGTCTCCTTCTCAAGTAGGTTACAAAGGGGCTTGGCAACTTTTGAAAAATCTTTGATAAAACGCCGATAAAACCCCGCATGTCCAAGAAAAATCCTAATTCCTTTGACCGAAATAGGTGGCGGAAGATTTTCAATTGTGGAAATCTTTGCTTTGTCCACTTCCAAGCCTTCTTGCGAGATTTTATGCCCAAGCACAATTCCTTCATGCACCATGAAGTGGCACTTCTCCCAATTTAGCACCAAGTTGGTTTCTTCACACCTACGCAAAACCTTAGCCAACATGCAAAGACAAGTGTCAAAAGTATCACCGAAAATAGAGAAGTCATCCATAAATACTTCTAAACCGTTCTCTACCATATCGGTGAAAATAGCCATCATGCACCGCTGAAAAGTAGCAGGTGCATTACATAAACCAAAAGGCATGCGTCTAAATGCAAAAGTACCATAAGGGCATGTAAATGTGGTTTTGTGTTGATCATCCGGTGCAATGGCTATTTGATTATATCCCGAATATCCATCTAAAAAACAATAAAATTCTTTACCTGCCAATCTATCAAGCATTTGATCAATAAAAGGTAAAGGAAAGTGATCCTTTTTAGTGGCTTTATTTAATTTCCTATAATCCATGCAAATTCGCCAACCCGTTGTTGTTCTAGATGGAATTAATTCATTATTTGCATTACGGATAACTGTCATACCTCCTTTCTTAGGAACACATTGAACGGGGCTTACCCATGCGCTATAAGAAATCGGATAAATAATACATGCGTCAAGCCACTTGAGAATTTCCTTCTTGACTACCTCTTTCATGATGGGGTTGAGACGCCTTTGCTGCTCTACTGACTGATGTAGTTGATCATCAAAGATGATTTTGTGCATACACAATGAAGGGCTAATTCCCTTGATATCCGCAATTTTCCATCCAAGCGCCATCTTGTGTTCCCGTAGTACTTCCAATAGCCTTTATTCCTGCAAAGTAGATAGAGATTGTGAGATAATTACCGGCAAAGTATCATTCTTACCGAGGTAGGCATATTTGAGGTGTGCGGGTAATTCTTTCATCTCAAGCTGTGCTGGTTCCTCCAATGACGTTTTGAATGCCTTGGTGGTGGTAAGGGTGGCCAAATCCAAACTTTCAAACTTTTGTCGAGCGAGAAAGTCGCCGGAATCTAACCAACAAATTTGCTCCTCCACTCTCTCATCTCCACAATCGTTACCTTCAACCAAAGATGCCTCCAAAGAATCCAAGAGTAACGAATCAAAATTTTCAAAAGAACAAGACTCCACTAAATCAATAGAAAAACACTCATTAGAATTGTGCGGACGCTTAATTGCATTAAAAACGTTAAATTTAATAGTTTGGTCATGCACCGTCATGGTGAGATCCCCACTAGCACAATCAATAACAGTACGTGAAGTAGCTAAAAACGGCCTTCCCAAAATAATTGGGATTTCTCTATCTTCATCCATATCAAGAATCACAAAATCAGCAGGAAGAATAAATTCGTCAACCTTGACTAAGACATCTTCTAAAACCCCCTTTGGGTAGACTAGAGACCTATCGGCTAATTGGAGTGTTATAGCCGTTGGTTCAATTTCACCTAACCCAAGACTCTTATATGTAGAAAAAGGCATAAGGTTGATGCTAGCCCCTAAATCAATGAGTGATCGAAAAAATTTATCTCCTATTGTACAAGGGATAGTAAACTTACCTGGGTCGCCGAGTTTTTTAGGGAGAGGTCTCGTAAGGATTGCACTACACTGTTCGGTGAGTTGAATCATTTCGTTTCCTTGCAATTTCTGTCCCTTGGTTACGAGTTCTTTGACAAACTTCACCCACTTTGGCATTTGTTGGAGTGCTTCGATGAGAGGGATATTGATACGGATTTCCTTCATCTTGTCAACAAAGCTTTGGTATTCGGCATTTAACTTCGGTGGCTGGAACCTTTGTGGGTATGGAATGGGAGGAGCCGGTGTAACCTTTGCCCTTGAAGTTTCGCCTTGAACGTTTGTGTCTTCTTCCGCCGCCTCGGTCGCCTTTGTTTTTCCATTATTTGTCTCATTTCTAGGGGCTTCTTCCAATTGTCGTCCGTTACGTAGGCTCACCGCTTGTACTTGCTCGTTTTGCCTTTTTCTTGGGTCCTCCGTGTTTGATGGCAATGCTCCTTGCGGACGGTTCTCTTGATTCAAAGCAAATTAAGCGAATTGATTCTCCAAGTTCCGCAACGAGGCTTGGGTAGCGGTCATGAATTGGGCCAATATCTCATCTGTGTTTGATTTTTGGGCCGGTGGATTGTTGCCTTGATAGCTTTGTTGAGGAGGGGCTTGATTTTGGAATTGACCTTGAGGTCTTTGATACCCTTGGCCTTGTTGATTTCTTCCATATTGTCCTTGTGATCTCCACCCTTGATTTTGGAATTGGCGAGGCGCATTATTGACGTAGGTGAGCGATTCCACATCTTGTTGGCATTGGAGCGTGTAATGATTTCCACCGCAAATTTCACAACATGGAGAATCAAGGGCTTGGACTTGTTGTGGTGGAGTTGCTTTGATGTGCTGTAGAAGGAGTTGATTTTGTTGAGCAATTTGGGTCACTTGGGCTTGAAGGGCCGTAATTGCATCTAACTCCAACACTCCGGGAACTTTCTTGGCTCCACTAACCGTCCTCTCGCTTGACTTGGCAAACCTATTTTGTGCAATTTGATCCAACATGATAAATGCATTCGGTATCGATTGACTCATGAAATTACCTCCGGTTGATGCATCTAAGACGGTTCGTGCATTCTCGTTAATCCCTTGGTAGAAGATGTGGATTTGCCGCCATTGTTCGACTCCATGTGTTGGACATTGCCTCAAAAGGGTCTTAAATCTCTCCCATGCCTCGTACAATTGCTCACTGTTGGGTGCTAAATACCCACACGCAAGTGCACGTATCGCAAACAAGTAGTAAAGTAGACTCGTGAGAGTCGGATGTCGATCCCACAGGGAATACGCAAATTATTTAATCCTAAGTACCAAATCCTAACAATTGTGATTTTTATCCAGCCTACGCAGGGTTGTCAAATTAATTAACTAAATAAATTAAACTAATTAAGAAAGCAATTAAACACGAGAGAATATCAATATAAAACGGATCTAGAATTTTATCTTCCCCCTATGCAATAATTCTTCACCCATTTAATCTCCTATTATGCAAGTTACGATTCCCGATTATTAACCCAAGACACGAAATTATTCATAACCAGCTGTCGCTGCGCTATAAACCTATTATTCATAAAAGATTCACTATATGTCTATGCAAACCTAGTATAAATAAAGCATTAAATAGCAGGTCTCGTAAACGGCTACCTAAGGTATTATCTGTATGTCTACGATAATACATGCAATCAACACACGCATTCGGTGAAAAACTACTCGAAGGCTCTTCTATCCCTGTTCTAATTATTAAAACGATTTGTCAATCAATTCTAACAATAACTAATAGCAACATAAGTTAGCTACGCTCATGCACTAAATACGATCAAAATAGAAGAAATAATCGAAGAATTAAACTTGCATAAACGTCGAAAAAGAGGTTCGAATTACCACATAGGGTTCCAATAAAATCCTAGAATAAAAACTTAGCTACTCATGTTCATAACGAAAAGCATAATAAAAATATGAAAAATCATAAAAGCTAATAAAAGAGGAAAACTAGGATGAAGAGTCGTCAATTCTTCGTCTTCGTTCTTGAGCTCCTTGATTGCGTGTAGAAAGATAAAAGATAAAAACTCAAAATAAAGATAAAAGGTAAAGATGATCCTAATTGTGTGCTTGTGGCCTTTAAATAGGGTGCAAAAATATAATAGGGCGGGTTTCCTTGTGTAATTAAACTTCCTTCACTGCGCCCCTACGCCCATCCGGACGGCCGTGTGAAATATAAGCTTAAAACCCGCACGGCCGCGCGGCCTTCTGTTCTTCAGAATTCTGATTATTTCACTTTTGGCCCACTTTTTCTCCGAATTTGCAGTTTTCACCCCAAAAGTTTACAATTCTTCAATTTGCACCTAAAATACAAATAATAACCATTTTAAGCACCAATTATCATTAAAACACACCAAAAGCTCCAATTAAAAGGTACAATTAAGTGTATAAATATACACTTAACACACCCCCAAACTTGAACTTTTGCTTGTCCTCAAGTAAAATCAAATTAAGAACACAAAACAAAACCATACATCTCATTACATAGATCGATTGGTCAACTTCGCGTTTTCAGAACTTGCAATTATGATGATAATTCCTAGGTATTCGCAAGCTTAACATTCAACGGTACTTAGTCACTCACCATTACCAACAATCACAAATCATACAATTGCTTCAAGTATCCAATATTTGCAAGTTAAAGATAGAAAGAATTTATACTCACATGCATATATTTGACTCCAAATACTCACCAAATTATTTTACTCAACTAATATTGAACAATAAGCTATTGGGATCATTGGGACTTTGTGGCTTTCAATTGTTAGGCTCTTTGGTCCGGGGTAGGTAATATGGGTATGTGTGGCTAATTTTCTAGAATTGAGGTGATTACGCCAAAAATTTAAAGATAGGCGTTTGAAACAATGAATTCACCTCTAGGGACTTTAATAAACTCGATTCTCCAAAATTCACGCGTCAACACTGTTGCCTTTTAGGCAATGGATCGAGTTTTCAACCCAATTCACAACTAGTCCTTATTTCTCCCTTCTAATCTATTCTTCTTCTTCTTTTTCTCTTTTTTTTTTTTTTTTTTTTTAATCGAAGAATTTAGATATATAGATATATATGAAGATGCATATATATATATATATATATATATCTATTATTTTATTTTATTTTTTCTTTTTCTTCTTCTTCTTTTTTTTTTTTTTTCTTTTTTTTTTTTTTTTTTTTTCGAAGAAGAAGAAAGATCTTATAAAACATTTCGACCGACTCCAAGGGATAATTATTCAAAAATCTCCACTTTTCTACCTTCCACATATTGGCTAAAATAAAGAACACCTTTTCTCCGAGGCTCAAATCAAGGCTCTAAGGATAAATTCAACAAAAAGGGTAGGCTTGAAAGGCTCAAACGGTTCAAAGAAGGCCCAAATCATATCCCAAATCACTTACTATCAACACTTCGTATCATAAATGTCCTAAGGTGAGATTTAAAACCGAACAAAACATGATTGATCACAAATAAATTCCAAATTTAAAATGCAAAACATTCAACCAAAGCAATGCACAAAGTGTGATTCCTAGCAATAATTCACTTCTACGTTCCGTTGAATCGAAAGCTAAACAAATATCTACTCCTTATCAACATAAAACAAGCAATTTCATCATCAAACATTGACCATCTCCCATCATCATAATTCATCGATGCATCGAAAAATATATATATATATATATTTTTTTTTTCTTTTTTTTTTTTCAAAGCAAATACTAAAACGGAAATAATAAAACGCAAATAAAGCATGCAAACTAAAAAAATAAAACACAAATAAAGCGCACATAAATGAAAACAAGTAATCAACCACCCCCAAACTTAAAATTCACATTGCCCTCAATGTGATTCGCCCGGAGTTTAAGGATAGAAAACACCTGTTTAAGCGTCGGGACCATCGTTGGGTTGCGCTCCAACTCCACCTTGCGCAAGAGCATCACCATCATCTTCATCATCCGAAAGCTCGGGTACCGGCTCAAGAATCGGTGCGGGCAACGGAGCCGGTTCTTCGCACTCGGGGTTGCCGCATGCCAAATGACGCACTATGGCTTGGAGCATCTTCCCCGACCACCGTTGGAGGGATTCAATCGTGCTCACCTTTTGCTCCACCGTTGCAAGCCGATTTCTCGTGATCACCAACTCTCGCTCCATTCTTCTTTGAAATCACCGGTCCGAACTTGTACTTGGACCCTCGGGTGGAGCTAGTGGTTGGGTATCGACGGGTTGCTCGCCATCTTGGATGGGTGCCTTGTATTGTCGTGCCGCGAGATTATTCATTGGCTTCCGAATTTGTGTGAGAATATCCGTCGGTTTGGTTGGGACCTTCGCCTTCTTGCATAGCCCGGTAACGAGGCAAGGGAAATAAAACCCCTTGGAGTTGTTGACCATGGAGGTCCAAAATCGGTCAGATATGATTACGCCAATGTTGATCGGTGTGCCCTTGAGAATGTAGTAAGCAAGGGCGCACCGTTCGGGATCCACGTGAGTCCACGAGCGGGTGGGAATGAGGTTGGCAAAAATGAACGTAAGGCACGCCTTGCCTATTTGGTGAATGCATTTCCACTCCAACTCGTACGTTTCTTCGGTTGAGAGGTTGGACCAAATGGGGGGTCCATCGCACAACACCTCGGCGACTTGATCTCGTGTGACCGCAAGTTGCAATTGCCCCCAATTGAATGGCGTCGTGTGTCGGAGGTGATTAAAAGAGTTGATTGCGTAGGCACACCAATCGACCTTCTTTCCTCGAACCGTGCTCGAGTTCCGATCCGTTGGGAGGAGGATACGGTTGTTGGCGTAGAACTCGCGGACCAATGATAGGTTGATCGAACCCTCCGGTTCCAATAATGCTTGCCAACCTCGTCGTAGAAATTCTTGGTGCAACGGTGCGAATTGTGGAAGGGTGATCTCATAGGCCCGCTCCGTCACTAGTTTCTTCACTTTTTGCTTTTCGAAACGAGCGCTAGCGCCTTCGACACAAAAAGAATCGTCGTCGGGGGTCGGAATTTGATCGGTTTTCTTGCCCTTCCCCTTGCCTTTTGAAGTGCCTTCGCCTTGAGAAGTGCCCTCCCCGTCACGACCTCGTTTCCCCATACTTTGAGAATGCTTGTGAAAGAGATTTTGGAATGAATTGGTGTGCAAAATTTCCCCCAAACTTGACTTGGGCAATTCGACGAACACCTTGTGGGCGTTCTTGGTGGAATGGATTTTTGGAGAAATTTGCTTGTTCTTGAATCCTCCCTGTTCAAATCAGCAACAAACAATCAAGTTTAAGTATTATGTGTGTGTAATTGGTGAATTGCTGGTGAAATTGTTCAAGAAAATCGAAAATTTTGAAAAGAGGGGGTTAGGGTTCGAATTAGGAGAGAGGGGGGAATTGGAATTGTGAAAATTGGGGTTTGGAAAACCCCTATGTAAAACGCCCGATTTTTCCCCTCGGACGGCCGTGCGGGATTTTGGCCTAAAATCCGCACGGCCGTGCCAAAAGCCTGATTTGGGCAGTAGCCCTTTCAACTCTCGGACGGCCGTGCGAGATTTTGGCCTAGAATCCGCACGGCCGTGCCAAAAGCCAGTTTTGGGCAGTAGGTTCCCCGAAGTCTCACACGGCCGTGTGAGATTCTAGTCTTATTCTTGCACGGCCGTGTCAATAATTGCATTTCGGTCCCTGCAAAATAAAAACTTATGATTAGTGCCCCTGAAACC